GGCCGGAACCGGACAACGACAGGTGTCGGTGAGGACGTGGGGCCGGCGGGGCCCTTGCACCCTGCTGGCGGGAATGCGACGCGGCGCGGCCACTTTGGAAAACGGTCAGCAGGTCCTCAAAGAGTCAATGTCACCACACGCCCCGGCGAGTGCCCTGCTGGGCGTCTGCCCACGAGACGTGAACACGTATGTCCACGCAAAACCTGTACGTGAGTGTCCACAGCAGCATTATTTACAGCAGCCTAAAAGCAGAAACGACTGAAATGGCCATCAAATGGCTAAGTAAATGTGGTATACACAGAAGATCGTTGCTCAGACCTAAGGTGGACTGAAATACATGCACCAGCTGAAGGAAGCTTCGAAAGTGCTGAGCGAGAATAGCCGGACACGAGAGGTCCCGCGTCACATGACTCTGTTTTATTGAATGTCCACAATGCAAAGTCCATAAAGACACATCGGATTCGTGATTACCTAAGGCTGAGGGGAGGGGGTACAAATGGGGAGTGACCGATGATGGAACGGGTTTAAGGGACGAAGATGACGTTGAGAGAGAGAGACAGAGGGTGGAATTAGTGTCAATTACACAGAGAACCGAGCAACTAGAAAAACGAGTCGCAACTGCAGGAAACACAAAAGCTGGACCCTCTTTGCTCAGGAGTTAAGAACATTTACACTGACATTTTGTTACAAACACTGACTACTGACCTACCCAATAAACAAGCAAACAAATGAAACAAGACCTTCTTAGAAAGCGAGCAGGCGTGGGGGAGGCCCCCCCCACCGCGGCCCCGGGGCAGTGAGGAACCGCCTGCTCTTGACCCCCCGCCATGTTCCCTGCCCCGGAGAGGGACACACGGGGTGCAGACGGACGCGTGGGGCACAGACAGACGTGGGGCGCAGACGGACGCGTGGGCGCAAGGCCTCTGTCCCGTCTTTGAGGACGGACATGCAGGGACTGGAGGGGGTGACCTGGCCGCTGCGTCCCCTGCCACGGCGTCTCAGAGCCCTCTGCTTCTCCGCAGAACTGGAGCAAGCGTCTGCACTGAGGGGTCGTGTCAGGCGCGCACAGGACGTTCTCAGTAACCGAGAGCCTCGGAAATGAAAGACGACAATATTGTGACATGCTCTGTTAACACGGGACAAGCTGCGGGAGCTGCACAGAGCAGGGCAGGGGGGACCCCTGGTGGCCACACGAGCCCCGGACTCTCCTTCCAGCAGGATCAGTGTCCCCACCTCCCCGGCCTTGCAAGGCCCAGGCTGCCTCGGAGTGCCCAGCACACGCTCAGCTCGGCCCCAAGGGCGACCATGGGGTACCCTCACTGTCCGCTCCACAGAGGGGCTCGCCCTACAGGTGTGACCTGGTCCCACTGACATCCCTGCCCCCCACCCTCAGCCCATTCCCTCCCATCTGCTTCTCCTGGTCCCCACCCCCACCCAAATCCTGACAGCTGCTTCCTCCAGGAAGCCTACCTGATAGCTCCAGCCTTCCTGGTCTGCCCTCTGAAGCACCAGCTGGCCGGACCACCAAGCCCATCATCATCCTCCTCACGGCTGCCACGTAATGAGCACCTGCTACGTGCTCACGCAGCAGGCACCACGCTCAGCCCTCAGCTCCGTCCCTTGGTTCCTCCCTCAGCAAAGCCCTATGCGGTAGGTACAGTTTTGACCCATTTTGCAGAAAAGAAAACTGAGGCTCAGGTGGTGTAGTGACTCGCCTGGGCCGGGTAACGGGGGGGCCGGGGGGGAGCCGGGATGCAGGCCCCGGGCCTGGGCCTGGCCTGCCGCAGGAGCACGCGGAGCTCGGTGGAAACGGGAAACCGTGGGACAGCACCTGGGCCACCGCGTCTGACGGATGCAGAGACTGAGCCCAGAGAGGGAAGGGGTGAGGGCGCGGAGGGGCTGGGGCAGTGCGCGGCTAGAACCCAGGACGAGACGGCGCCCCAGAACTGGGTCCCCTGGCCACCGAGAAGAAAGATGAAGGGCACGTGCTTCAGGCCCTGAGCCCTCACCGAGGCCCAGATCTGGGCAGATGGTGTCCTGAGGCACAGGCCTGCCAAACCCAGGCAACTCCTGACCGGAAGCGGGTGGGTGGGCAGGCGGCACGCGCCCCGGGACAGGCCCGGCCTTGGAGGCGTCCCGGCACACGCCCCAGGCCCCTGACTATGGGTCTGCCTTGGCATGTAGGAGCTTCTTCCTGGCAACGGGGGAGACCGCGCTGGGGGAGGTCAGGGCCACAGGTCCTCTCCCCACCAGATCCAGACTGCCCAGGTGTGGTCTCGGGAGGCGCCAGCCCTCCGGACTCCCCGACGTGGCCAGCGGGGTGGAGGGGAGCACGCGTAACTTCGCCCTCAGCCCCAAATCTCCTCTTCTCTCTTACAGAGAGTCTCGGGGCCTCTGGGGCTGCTGCGCCAGGACACGCCGGAGCTCCCGGCAGCACAGAGAGCCTGTGGGGCAGCGTTTGAGAATAACGCCACTAACCCCAGCTTGGCTCTGACCTTGACATCCACAAAGGTGGTCCTGGCCGGCTCTGCCTGAAAGGTGCCTCGAGCCAGGCACGGACAGGCCGGGGCGCCTCGCGGCTCTGCGCACACCTGGCCACCCCACCGCACAGCCCTGCCCTGCCCCTCCGCCTGTCCCCAGCTTTAGCTCAGGCCTCCCGAGCCCACGGCAGCCTGAGGACGACCCCTGGTGGCCACCCTGGAGCTCTGCCCACAGAACCGGCCCTCAGACCCCGAGCGTCACACAGAGCAGCCCTCGGGAGGCCTGTGCTGGGTCACGTTGAACTCGTCCACGAACAGGGGAACCGTATCAAGGGGGGGCAGGAGCAGTAGGGACCTGGCCCCCCACAGCCCCCCACGCCCTCCATCGCTGCGGTCCACTGGCAGCCAGTGACCGGGGAAGCCAGGCCCATCCAGGGCAGGGCCGAGGCCGCCAGGACCCTCTCTGCCGAGGCCTGACCCCAAGCAAGGGGGATGTCGGCTCACTCCCCACCCCCGAACCGCCTGCAGGTCCCGGCGGCCGTGCTGTGTCCACCCCTCCTCCACCTCGTCCCTTCTCTGCCACCCTCCAGATCCTTCAGAAGACCCATCGGACGTGGGAACGCCCCGGGGTCCGTAGACGGGGAGCCCGCGGCCGCTGCGCCGCCCCGCAGGGCCCACTTCGGCCTGTCTGGGCTGCTTGTTCGCCCGTCTGTGTCCCCGGCTCCGCCCAGCGAGAACTCGGTCCTTGCCTCGTTACGGCCCCAGATTCTAGTCCAGAGCCCGGAACGCAGAGCCCGCCCCGTCAGCGTCCGGTGGAGGAGTTGGGGGCGGCGGGGGGGGCGTCGAGGGTCAGATGGGAGGGTGGACAGGTGGATTCATAAAGGGCCGGGCGGTGGAGGAGTGGACGCAGGGAGAGAC